ATATATATACAAATTAGCGTTATTTGTGTCATTCTACTTTTGTTTTACATTTAATAAACGATAAAAATAGGAAGATACAAGTAGCGCTAATAACGTCTGCCCGAACGTAATTAATATATGTTTAATAAATAGCATGTAATTTATCAATATTTTTTACAACATTAATATTAATATTGATTAAAGATATAAAAAATGCATCCAGGCGCCAAGGAACGCCCTATATTGAATTTAAATATGAATGTAACCGAAACCGATCATGTTATCTATGACATAGCGTTTGCATGCATAGATGGGATTTGTCCATGAATTTTACTAGCTACGAGAGGGAACATTTCTCGTAAAAAGAAAATGTCCTATAAGGAGTACGCCAAACAAGTTGGCAAGTCTCGTGGAGATTTCTAATCTTTCTTAGATGTGCTTTCTACGAATATTTTTTGATCATAACTTTATTGTATGTATTTTGAAATATAATGCTAAGCAATAATATATTAACAATTAATATTCAAATAAAATATTTAAATTTCAACATTACAGCAATATTGCTGCAATTTTTATAAAATTAAACAATATTAAAATATTGCAATATTGCTGCAATATTTCGTATTGTAAGGACAGTCGTATTTAAACCCTTATATCTCAAAAACTATTGTTTAAAATAAAAATTTATAAATAAATATTTTACTTAATTTTTTTATACCTTCCTTACTATTATATTGTATTTTGAACAGCAAATGTTGGGACACACTCCGATATGTATATATATTTCAATGGTATATTATTTGGCCCAGCGCATAATGAAAAAAATTAAGAACTGGAAAAAGATATTGAATATTAAAAAAATAAAAAAATTATAAATGAATATATTAAATATAACTGCAACAGATACAAATAAAATATTAGACACTATATAGCTTATTTGTATTTATTGTGAGCTACGTTCAAGCAATATTACTAATTTTTTTATACTTAAAGATTTTTAAGCACAACCGTATGTGTGAATACATCAAATACAATAAAGAAAGCCATAAAATAACCGGTCAAAGCTAGATGTTTTGAATAACATTACATATTCTTTATTAAATCAGTTTATTCCAAATATGATTGCGCGCCAAAACTTTCGGACTTTCCACACAATCATTCTGAGATACTAATAATTTCTTCTAAATTAGAGTAAAAAGAAAGAAAGAAAGTAAGAATTAAGAAAGAATTAAAATCATCCTACTTTACCATCATTTCCATTCGGTGAAAAATCTCCGAATTGAATTTATGGATTGCAAAATTGTTATGACAGAATTAAAATACGCACAGACAGGACCTTAGCTGCACTGGATTTCATAAGAAAATCGAAAAAGAGTTGAAAAATTTACTTACTTTTGGCTCGTACAACTATATTAGACATCTCAGATATATATTTGCTTAATATCAAAGTTTTATAGTTCATATCTTAAAAATAAGCAGCTGAGGTCACATTACTGGAACGAACGATACCGAGTATATAGAACTAAGATTGAAAATTTAGAAGAAAAATATTTTCATCGAATGATCAAAAATAAGTGTATACGAATGTTTTGTGAAGAGTAGGAATGTCAACAGAGCCAAAATTCCGTGTAGTAGTAGTTGCGTCTTGCGATAGATAATGCTGGAATATGTTACATAAGGACAAATGTATGCGTTTGAGTGAGACAGAACGATATACAATATAATGTAAGAAATGAATCAAAGGTGTTTGATTTTAACCTCTCACACTCTCTGAACGTCTTTGTGCTAACATGTCATATCTCACATATCATCGTTAACATTATTATATGTAAGTTTTTTGTTCAATTAGTTTGATTTTTTATGTTTTAATAACTTATTCAACTTTATTAAATTACAGATAATCTAAAATGTTAGATTTGAGTATTTTGTTAGATACAACAGACAGTATTATTCTTATTTTATAAATATATGTTAACGATACTTCAATTTGCTTTGCATCACGTATTTTATATTAAACCAATTTTATTTTTACACTGAGGAAGACCCAATTGAAAGGGTTAAACGTTTGTCAATTTTTCTCAAGAATAAAGTATACAATTTCACACACGCCTAATCTGTATTGGCTCGCATTGGCTGATTTACATCTATCCTTGGATTTATTCGTTTGAGCCTATATCAAGATTGAGTTATTTGAATCAGATATCTAAATCTGAATTTATAGAAACTGTTATTAAAATGATTCTGGTATCAACTTATTTCACTTTTGACAATCAGATTTATAAACAAAGCTATGATACTTCTATAGATTCCCCCCTGTCTCCAGTTTTGGCTGATGCCAAACTGTTTTGGTTATGCAGGACCTTAAAAGTGAGATGTTGAGT